TTGTTTGTGTGTTAGGTTCAGTTCCTGAATGAATGATTATGCACTAAAACAATAATGTATTACTACTGTGAATATAATTTTAACGAAATCAATAAAATGTGGTGTGTGTGTATATTATATATATTATATATTACAGATACATATATATATATATATTTTGTTGTTGTTGTTGTTGTTGTTGTTAATCCTCACCAAGGACTTTTTCCATAGATTTTTGATAGAGTAGAAGGGAGTGAGAATAGGAGAGAAAGAGGGATAAAGAGAGAAACATCAATGTGCAAGAGACATATCAATTGGTTGCCTCCTGCACAACTCCGACCTGGGCCAGGGATTGAACCTGCAACCCAGGTACATGACCTTGACCAGGAATTGAACCCATGCTTTATCCACTGAGCCAAACTGGCCAGGGTGGTGTGTATATACATATACATATACATACATGTACATATACATATACATCCTCACCTGAGGACATTTCTGCATTTATCCTCAGATAGAGTGGGAGGGAGAGAGGAAAGAGAGAGAGAGAAACATAGATACGAGACACATCGAGTGGTCACCACCCACACGACCCCAACCAGGGCCGGGGACAAACTGCAACCAAGGCATGCGCCCTTGGCAGGAACCTAACCCAGGACCGCGGGCTGACGCTCTAACCGCTGAACCAAACTGGCCAGGGCGGTATATATAGATTTTAATGATACTCATGTAGTCTATAAAGAATGAACATAAAGTAATTATTATTTGTAAATGTCCAACATAGAACTTAGTTGTAGATTTTCTTAAGGCTGATGAACATCAAATTGAGTTTAATAATGTAAATATAGATAGGGGGTACATTACACATGAAAAGACAATAATCATGCTAAAGATTACAGTGCTAATAATCTGTTACAAAAAGAACTGCTGAAAAAGGGAGATACAGGTGTGTGCAAATAGGTGAAATTAGTTGTAACACTAGATATTCATGTAACAGTCATAATGAGCTAATGATAAAATCCGTTCTTATTTGGGTTTATGTCCAATATTAAATTATATATTAGAAAGAATCTGTTGTTCTGACCAAGTACTGTTCACTTTTGCTACTGATCTTTGTATATCATGGCACAAACATAAACGTGACATGCTCTGTGGAAAGCAACTGACATGGAAGCAGCTTTACTATGTGTTTACCTCCAGTACACCTGCACTACTTAACATAAAAATTCTTCCACATTTTCCCCCTGACGTTTTTATGGCATTGGCCAGACTTGTTACTCTTACCATCCAAAGAAAAATATCAGAATTCCTGGAGTCTGCAGTAAATAACCAAACTGCGTTTGTTACCTGAAAAAACACACTTAACTTATTTGATTTACTGTAAAAGAAATCAAGCAAAATCTCTAGGTATCGCTCAGCTCAGACACATGTTGTAAAAAGTCTCCTTATCATATTGTAGCACTGCTATTTTTGTTGCTCTAGGCATAAAATAAAAACAACTATGCTATTATATCTGACTCAGTCATAATAATCACACTGGTGGGGGCTGGGTTTTGGGTTGGAGACAAATCTGTTTTAAAAAGTAATTTAAAGTTCCCTTGGAATCAAACTGTATAAAAAATGTAGCAACTTAGCAACAAGCTCAGAGGCTATTAGTGAAGCGTCACTTGAATGCTAATGTCAAAAAAAGAAGAAAGGAAAGAAAAAGGAAGTGGGAAGCTTGTTGAAAGGACATTTTTCCAAAGCAGCTATTTAATCTAGATTCATATAAACTAAGCACTGTCTCACTTCTATCTTAGGGTTGTAACAAAAGTGCAATAAAATTAAAAGATCAAAATAAAACCACCCCTGTCCTCCTTAGCTAAGTAGAAGAAAGCATGGATAAGTTCCTTACCTCAGAGTGTATTAAAAAATGCGACCTTTCCAATGAGGTGCCATGATCTGCTGACTCAAAATTACGAATTCCTGATTCCTCCAAATCTTCTTGGCTTTAACTTTCTTATTTTTTATTTAAATTTTATTACATTTATTGAGGTAACATTGGTTAACTGGATTTAGCTTTCTTCTATAGCATTTATCACAGTCAAACAATGATACGGTTGACTTTATTTATTACTACTTTATTATGAATATTTTTTGCATGTATCTCCTTTCATTAGAATGCAAACACCTCAAGGGCAAGAATGTTTGTGCTGTTCACTAACAAACCCACGTGCTGAGGACCATGCCAGGCGCAGTGGGTACTCCATAAGAATCAGCTGAATAAACAATTGTAATAGATGCCCAGAAATTAAGCTGGAGTATAAACATTTAAGAGGAACCAATGGCATAAAAAGTCAACTGAGATTCTAATAAAGATCATATTTACCTCTTATATACAAGGATTATAATTTTAAATGCATCACACACTCATAAATCCAATGATGACCTTGGGATTTACAGGTGTCTATATAAAACCCTGTGGAGCAGAATAATTCCTACAAACCTTCACTCAAATGTCAACAAAAGCTATGGGAATTCTAATAAACACATTAACATTTACATTTAGTTTTGAGTTACTTTTCTGCTTTATGTGGGAGACCTTTTTGTTCTGCTATAGTTTTATGGAAAAATTAAGACCGTCTTATGAATGTCTATTCAAACCACTTCACAAAGCAGTCTTTACACAGCATTTAATATTCAGCACGAGGGCAGAACAGTACTTAGTGCTCAAGCTAGAAACATGAAACATATAGAAAGGTTTGTTATTAGTTTCCTCACATGCCTCATAACCAGACAGAACAAGTCACAAATTGTCTGAATATCCACAAGATGAATATTTGCTCTTCTATTGGCTTAAGCTATAAAGTGTTTTATAGTTTTTAACACTAAAGCTTTCTCCCTGCTCCTCCCCTTGCAAACACACACATTACTGGTTTTATTACTTTACTTTGTAAGAGTCAGTTTTCACCAAAGATAACACTTATGTAGAAAAATGTACTAAATGCCTAACATTTGGTCTTAACATGCTTTTTGGAAAATACTTTAAATTGCAGAAGGGAATATAACACAAACTGTCACTTAGATATTTTAGTGGTTGAAACGTGGCTTTGGAAACGAAATACTTCTGATCAAGCTCAAAGTCCTCCACTGTCATGTTTTTGCCATGTTAACAACTTAGTCGATTTTAATTTTTTGAACATTAAGTCCAAGAATGAATATATTGTGGTAAGAATACAGAGAAAATAAAAACCATGTACCTTCTTAAGAATATTTATCTAACAGTTTCAGGGCAAACACCATTAATTTTTATTAAAACCTAACAGAGGTGCTAGGAATTGGTCTAAGTCTTTGCAAATACTGTTTCATTTAATATTCAAACAAACCTAGAAAGCAGATGCTGTTATTGTCCTCATTTTTTAGATGAAGAAACAGATACTCCGAGAAAATCTGAAATGGCAGGTGTCACTCAGCTACTGGAGAGCAGAACTGGTTGGAATGCAGCTGTCTTGTCCCAGAGGCCTGTTTCTCACCGTCTCCACCACCCACCTCACAGGATATAGTAGACGGGGCCTCTCCAGAAAATAAACTCTAAAATTCTACTACTATAAGTGTGTCACACATACAGGCTGAAAGGTTTTCTGAGCAATAACCACACAGAAGGAAACGAATAACAGGAAACACTTCTGAAGGATAGTTACACACAACAACCCTGCTGTCACTTTCCACTATGGAAGATCATGCTCCACAAAAGAGCACAGTGATGGTAAGGATGGAATTACAAAATTAAAAATTACATACCAAAAATTGCTCCAAATTAGGGAAATAAAGAGTTAGGGCTAAATAGTTTTAAATAGTTATTTTTCTTCTAAGAATTTTAGAATAGCCCTGGTTGGTTTGGCTCAGTGGTTAGAGCATTGGCCCAAGGACCAAAGAGTTGTGTGTTTGATTCCGGGCAAGGGCATGTACCTCAGTTGTGGTTTGTCCCCAGCCCTAGTCAGGGTTGTGCGGGACGCAACCAGTCGATGTGTCCCTCTCACATCAATGTTTCTCTTTCTCACCCTCCCACTCTATCTGAAGATAAATGAAAAAATATCCTTGGGTGAGGATTTTAAAAAACATTTTAGAATAATGGCTGAAAATAAAAATAAATCACTTGATTTGAAAGAGAAACCAAATCTAAAATATCACTGAACAAATCCTGAACTGCAAATTAAGATAAAATCAAAGGCTTTAAAACCATAATTTAAACACATGAGTACAAAGTACAAAACAAGTGTGATATCAAAATAAATTGCAGCCAGTTTACTACTAACAACAAAAGAAGGTAATGGCACCTGAACTCATTTCAACAGAGCAACAAGCCTTTCCTGTGTGCACAGCCTCCCTACAGTTGCATTAGCACCAGTAGCAGTAGCTGCAAAGCAAAGGCACTCTGGGTATCTGGGTACTTGTGAGACATCAGAAACCGTGTTAACAAGATCCCCAGTTGACTCAACTTGTGTGCAAGTTGGAGAAGCCCTGGAATAGAGCCTGGAGGCCAGTGGGAAAGGGAGGGCTCCTCCTCCTGAGCAGTGACCCTGACACTGTCTATGCCACCAAAAACCTACAAAGAGGCAGCACGAAATCCGAAGACAGAGCAGAGGATAAAGTCCTTTCCTTGGTGGCTGGGATGATCACCCCAGGAGGGCTGCCCAACAAGTGAACAGACTGAAAGGGATAAAAATGGGAAAGTCAGCCTGGGATACTTCAGGAATGGCTGGTGATTTTAAGGAGAGGAAAAGTAAAATAGTAATGACAGGGACAGTGAAGGCCATGCCTGGACAGTGCAGTCAAGACAAAGCAGGGCAACAGGCCTGCTGACCTGACCTAGAGGCCCTAAGTGGAAACACTCAGCTCAAGGCCCTGAAGGTGTATGGGGCTCTATGTGGACAATTGATGAGATTTTTTAGCTCGAAAACTTCAAGCATGATGCTCTTTGAAGTGAAGTTCTAAATGTCTTACTTATTTCATCAGAATTACACACAAATGCAAACACTTACCAACCAAGACAACAAGTCTGTATTTCTCATTCATTTGCCGCCGATAGGGGGTCACTTCTTCATATGTGGGTACATCAGCTGTATCATACTGATCACTCTTCTTGCATTCATACATGGATTTATTTGTTTTCTTATCTTTTCTACTAAGGCGGAAACTTCTTCTGAAACCAGCTGTAAATACAAAAAATAAAAAATAAAAAATTTCTAGTAATAAGACCTAAAAAAAGGAACCCCCAAAAAACAAAAATAAAAAATTCTCCAAGTTGGGAAAGATTTTATTCACCATAATATTATTACAATTGTACTTAGTAAGAGAACAAAAATAGATGCTACACAATTTCATTAAAATATATTTATAATGATATAAATTTTATTTGTTTCTAAATCATAGTTTCCTTCAGAAATCAATGAGTAAAGTATGTTATAAAACAAAATAAGAAAGTCAGAAATCATAAGGATAATTTATCATAGACTGATTGATGAACACATTTGATAAGAAAAATTAGCCCTGGCCACTCTTGCTCAGTAGTTAGAGTGTCAGCCTGAGAACTGAAGGGTTGTGGGTTCGATTCCCAGTTGGGGGCATGTACCTGGGTTGCAGGTTTGATCCCTGGCCTTGGTCTGGGTCATGCAGGAGGCAACCAATCTATGTGTCTCTATCACATCGATGTTTCTCCCTCTCCCTCCCTTCCACGCTATCTAAAATCCCTAGAAAAATATCCTCAGGTGAGGATTTAATAAAAAAAAAAAAGAAAGAAAGAAAAATTAAAAGCACTTCAAAAACATTTTAAATATAAGTGATGGATTCTCTCATTCATAAACACTAGAATATTTCATGTCATAGTCTAAGCACAGCCTAACAACATACCTGGAGCACAGACAGAATCTATTGCTAAGTAAAAAAAGAAGACTAAATTACGGAAGGTACAGTGCCAAACAGACCTATGCATGGATTAGGCTGACAGAATCAGCCCGTTCCTGAGAGCAAGTCATTGAATTTAACAGGACACTCCAGGGGGATGGAACAATTGAGCCTCAGGGTTTCTTCTATGCAAATGCTGTTTTTATGATTTGAAGTCTACTGAAATTTGGAAATAAGTTTCATAGTTTCAATTGTCCTATGATCTTTTACTAAGATAACACTTTATGTATTTAAATAAATTTCACATCTGCTTAAAGTGAGCTCTCCAGCTCACTGCTATCACATAACACGTGGGCTTAAAGAGCTCAGCGAGAGTTCTCTTCCTCAATCAACCCCATCTCCCTCTGTTTGCTTTTCATGTTGCTGTGGTGTTCTGGTTTTATTTCTTTTCTAGTACAGTGATATTTACTATACACATCATTCAAGAACTCATAAGATGTGCAATCAATTCTTAACCAAACCAACCTTTATACTCCCTCTAAAATCCAGACTTTAAGACAAAGAAAACAGCCTTCTTATTAAAACATTATATATATTCTATATTGGCTCTTTAGTACAAAACAAAATATATTTTTAAATATATAAAATATATTCTCTTTAACAAGAATATTGATTAAATTTGATACATAGAAAACTTTAAAAAAAGTTTGTTTGTTTTTTTGGTACATGCCCCTAGCTGCTAGGGCCTAGCAGAAACCAAACCCAGAACTCTCTGGTCCACAGGCCAATGTGCCAACCGCTGAGCCAAACCTGCCAGGGCTAAAAATAAAGCTATTTTATAACAAAATATAAGAATATAATAATTAATCTGTGTGAATTTTAGGAAACAAAGAAAAATAATAATTACCATTGGATTTAAGAAGTTAATAGGATTCAAAATAAAGGCAATAAATTATCCATGACCATGAACTTATATGACTCACCTTATAGATTCAGTTTAATTAAAATAAATCAACATATTAAGAATAGAATGAAAAAGTTTATCTGGTAATACATTCCCATGGGCCCCCAAGAGTCACTCTGATTTTGAGGAAATACTCAGATTATTTGAGGGAGAATATTTACAATGGATTTGAAACAAGGAAGATAATAGCTCTAAAACTCTCATCAAAGATAAAGAGAAAAAAGTGAGCAGGGTAAGTGATGAAACACATTAGTATTTAAGATGAGATCTGAGGAAAGCTACTGGGGAAGTGTGCCGTCCTGGTGCTAGGATGAAGAAAAGATGTATGAATTCTAAAATCCCACGTGTAGACACAATCTAAACTTCTGTGTAAAGGGTCAGAGGACATGCTGCATAGTATTTTTTGTTTCTCTCCTTTCTAGGATATTGGGAAAAACTCATAAGAACCCAGATCAGGGAACCCTACATATTCTGGGAATCCTACATATATCTAGAAGTCACAGCAACACACACCAGAACTAACCTAGATTCTTGCTACTTCTGGTGCTTTAGCAGAATGGTTCCCAAACAATGGTCTCTGCCTAATTTGCAGAAATTAGTCATCCCATCCCAATCCCACCCTAACTGTCACCTGTAACTGCTGGCCAAGACTGGGCTCCAGAATAATAGGATAACTTCTGGCCCTGGTCAGTGTGCTCAGTGGTTCGAGCGTCGGCCCTCACACCCAACGGCCAAGGGTTTGATTCCCGGTCAAGAGCATGTACCTGGGTGTTCGATCCCCCACCCTTGTCCAGGCGCATGTGGGAGGCAACCAATAGATGTCTGTCTGTCTGCCTGTCTCTCTCTCTCTCTCTCTTCCTCCCTCTCCCCTCCCTTCCACTTGCTCTAAAAATCAATGGGAAAAAAATATCCTTGTGTAAGGATTAAAAAAAAAAAAAAAAAGGATAGCTTCTGGTTTAACATAAAAATCACACATTAGCTGTTGTAACTCTTCTAGGCTGGTATTTCATTCTGTTCCAATTTCAGGTTTTCATGGTTTGCCTTCAGAAAGGTAATTATAGGATAAACAGGTAGAACTAGAAATGCCTTCACAATTATTCCTTGTATAGAGGAGGGGTGTTCCTGAAGTCACTACAAACTTTTGGCACAGGAATAGTTCTAACTAGGACATCAGTGCCTCATCCAAAGCACATGAAACCCAAACATGAAAACCTGAATATTTTCTTACCCACAAATCACAGCTAAATCCTGAATTTCAGTGAAAGTGTTCATCTAACTAGGTCTTTACAATTAACTGAAGTTTTTTATTTCATCATAATCAATGAAGGGATAGTGGAGAAAAGAAAGTAATCAGATTTCTAATGTGAGGGTCTATGGATGTCAAAGATGGGGACCGGGGTCCCACAGGATAATCAGCTGTATCTCGTTGGTGCAAAACAGGTGCTTTGTAAAGTTTACTAAATTGAATTTAAAAAGGCAACAACAAACACCCTACTATCATTCCAGTTTCATTTTCTTACGTAAATTTCAATAAAGAAAGGGCACATTTAATATTTTCTCAAGAGAAAATTCTTAGAAGGAGATAAAAGGACAGAACATTGCAAACACCCAGGCTTAGCACTGGAAGGAACTCTGCTCCTGGCCAGCACACATGTTACTGCACTGCGCTCGCCCACACACCGTGACAGAGTCCTGACCACGTTCACATCCATTTCTAGGTGCTGACTACCAAGCAAGTGAAATTCCCACTGGTGATGAGCTTTGGTGCCTTGACCCAATATGCTCGTTTACAAAACCAAGGGAAAAGGCAGATACCACACCAATTCTATCACAGCAGCAGCATCACCAGGTGTTAAAAATCAAAGACAGGAGGTAGACAGGTCTAGGCTCTGCCCTGCTGACTTACCAGCTGTGTGACTTGCCAACTTTGAAAAAAGTCTCTAAGGCTCATTTTCTCAACTTCAAAATAGTAGTACCTACCTCACAGTGTTAAGAATTAAACAATTGCTGTAAACCATTTGGCCCAATACCTGGCATGTGGTAAATACTATACACAATAGCTGTAAATTAATGCTTGATTATGTTTACAACTTACATAAAGTACCTTGAAGGTGGGAACATGCTATACCTCCATGTGTTCCCATAACACAGAGTCTAGCAAGAAAGGGTAAAATAAATTAAGGAGCTTATTAGTAAGTTTTTAACTGGCTAATATTATAAAAGAGACAAAATTAAAGACAGACTTAAAAGTTCACTATTATAAGTACACTATTAAAGTAGTGAGGCATTTTATTTTTATTTCTTATTTTAATTAATCCTCACCAGAGGATATGTTTTTATTGATTTTGAGAAAGAGAGAAAGACATTTATGTGAGAAAGAAACATGGATCGGTTGCCTCTAATACTTGCGCTTACTGGAGAATCAAACCTACAACAGGTATGTGCCCTGACCAGGAATCGAACCCACCACCTTTTGGTGTATGGGATGACGCCCCAACCAACTGAGCCACCAGGCCAGGGCAGTGAGGCATTTTAAAGAAACACAACAGAAATATTTAGTGTACATTAACTACTCATGTTTTTAGTTACTCTTTCTAGGAATGTATGTTATTTCTGGCACTATATTTAAATTTAAAAGACATCTTCCCAGCTGTCTTACTTATCACAATCCTTTACTCCCCTGATCCATACATACTTAAGCATGTTCCATATTTACATCGCACAATACATATATACATATACACATATGCATAGGTACACATGTATACATATGTACATAAATATCCATATATAAACACACAGATTAAAAAAAGAAAAAGGAAAAGAAAAATCCCAAACCTTGAGCAACCAATAAAACAGCCAGAACAGAGATGCCATAACAAAAAATACAAAATCCAGAGTCCTCACCTATGATTATTTCAGAAACCAAAAACCAAAACAGCCCATTTCCCTAGAATCTATCTGGCATGCCCTTCAAGGCAGTACAGAGACTGTAACTTTAAAACTTCAGTGACATGATGAGTGACATGTCCACACACCTTGGTCAAGTCTAAGCTTGGAGAAAGTGAATCCTATGTCAGGAAAAGGGGTTAATATTTCTTGCCTTCAGATCTTTTGTTGTCGTTGTTTATCCGAGGATATTTATTCCATTGATTTTTAGAGAGAGTAGAAGGGAGGGGAGTGAGGGAGAGAGAGAGAGAGACAGAGAGAACACTGATGTGAGAGAGACACATTGATTGGTTGCCTCCTACATGTGCCTGAACCAAGGCCGGGGATTGAACCTGCAACCCAGGTACATGCCCTTGACTGGGAATCAAATCCGAGACCCTCTGGTATTTGGGCTGG